GCGCGTGTAGAGAGAGCTCTGGGGTCTCTTCTTATGTTGACGAATCCTCTCGGGTCAGGGCCCCACCCCATGACCTCCTTTAACCATAATTTAACCTCCTGAAGGCCCCGTCTCCAAATATAGTGACACTGGGGGGTTAGGGCTTCAACATATGAATTTCGAGGGGATAGAATTCAGCCTGTGACAGATGGTGACCTTGATCCACTGCAGACAACCTGAATTATCCCCCAGATGGGCCTGAGGTCCTTGTCTGTGCCACGGTGTGCACTCGGCTTCTAGGAGAGTCTTGATTGAATGTATCGTAGGTGCTCACAAAGAAAAGGTTCCTTTGAGTTTCCCAAACGGTATTCATTAAGAAACCTAAGTGTTCCAGAAAGAGCTCTTTTTGGCTCATTTCCATATAAAAAGAAAATTCAGGTGATGGGGGCCGCCTGTTCCCTCTGCATTTACAACATGACAGAGTGAAATCGAGTTGATTAAAGGCTCAGACTCTGGCAAACATCGCACAGGTTTTGTAGCGGGTGAAGCACATGTTTTGTGGTATTAAGGAGTTGTCGCTTTGGTTTGCATTTCTCCCCTCCTCTCAGTCGCATGGATTACCCGGCTCACGTCTGCCTTTCCACTCTGGAGGCTGGACACACCCACCGCTCTCGATGTGGGTCGGAGTGAGGAATTCTAAAGGCAGGGCAGGGCCGCCCAGGGCCCAGGGATGGTTGAATTTCAAATCCGGTTCGCTCTGACCCTTGGAGACCGTCTCAGCCGGGTCAGTAAAGAGCATGAGAGACTAGACTGAAGCTAAGCCGCTGTCTTGGGGTGTAAGAGCAACTCTGCTCCAGAGAGTTCGAAACCATGAAATGCGGCTCGGCTTCCCTTCTTAATGTGCGGGAACGGCAGGTGAGGGAAACGCTTGCTTTTTCTTAGCTGAACTAGGCTTAAAGAGCTTCTCACCCTCCTCAGGTTGGCTCAGTGACAGTGGATGGTGATAGTAAAGGTTTAAGGGGCTCTTCGCCGCGGGAGTGGGACTGAGGTGTCACCTGCGGTGTCGGAGGCACCGGTGGCTTGCGGAGGTGTGTCCCTCGGCTGCGGCCACGTGCTCCTGTGCCCCCCCGTCCGTACAATTTCATGGTGTCATTTTTTCCTCCTGCATAGCAGGGGCCAGTAGGCACAGACTGCGTCCTGCCCGTGGCCCCGTGTCGATGAATTGGGACCCGCAGCCTGGGTCCCCTCCCTGCCCCTTCCCTGCGGGGACGACCCCGCCGCCTCCTTCCCTTCCTCGGCTCTCTGCCCGCTGTCACCCCTTCTCTCTTCCACCCCAGTAGCTGCCACCTTGTCACCTTAGATCCTCTTGTTTTGTTATTTTTTAAAATGTTTTTATTGATTTTAGAGATAGAGGAAGGGAGAGGGAGAGAGAGAAACATGGATCGGCTGCCTCCTGCACGCCCCCGGCTGGGGATCGAGCCCAAAACCTGAGCATCTGCTCTGACCTGGAAGCGAACCAGCAGGGACGACACTCAGTCCACTGAGCCACACCGGCCTGGCTGTTACATATTTTGTCCTTGGGGAATTTCCTTTTCTTTCTTATGAGCTCAGCTGTTTAAAAATTGGTTTGCTGCCCAGCCGGGCATGGCTCAGTGGTTGAGCGTCAACCTAGGATCCAGGCAATCGGGGTTCGATTCCTGGTCAGGGCACATGTCCGGTTGTGGGCTCAATCAGTGACTCTCATCATGGATGTTTCTCTCTCTCTCTCCCTCTGTTTTCCTCTCTCTGAAGTCAATAAAGATATATTTTTTAAAAAAAATTGGTTTGTTGATTTTATCCATCACTGGTTGGCATTTTTTTGGGCAGGAGTGGGGGTGGGGGTGAAGAAGAGGGTGGGCCTTGCCGTATCCTCAGAATTGCAGTTTCTTAATTAATGAGAAGTTGACCAGTGATGCGTTTGAGCCCTGCTCTGTGGGAACCTCTTCCTCCCTCTGCACTTTCCCTGCACCGCAAGGCCTGGCTGCTTCCCTGGGAAATTTGGGGGCAGTCTTGGAAGACGGGTTCCTTTGTAAGGTTTCGGGAGGCTTAGCAGCTGGGGTGCGGCGGAGAGCGGGAGCCTTTCATCGACCTTCCACAGCACAGCCGTTTTCCTTCGCGCTCCGGGCGCGCTGAGGCTTAGCCAGGCCCTGGCACGCCCTCCTCTCAGGGCCTCGGGACAGGTGGGCCCTTCTGGTCCGGCCTTTGCACGGGGCCCTGGGTGAGCACGTGCAGATTTGATATGACTCCTGACACCCTCCAGACTAAGCCCTCGCCAGTGCGGCCCAGGGCTCGAGCATCACCCCATGTACCAGAAGGTTCTGGTCAAGGCACGTGCCCAGGCTGCGGGCTCAGTCCCACTGGGGGGGCGTGCAGGTGGCAGCCGATCCATGTTTCTCTCTCCTCCATCGATGTCTCTCTCTCTCTCTCTCTCTCTCTTCCTCTCTTTCTAAAAATCAATTTTAAAAAAATTTTAAAAAGAAAAAGGAAACTCTCCCGATTAAAGCTGTTTATCTTTTCAGCGAGACTCTATGTCATACCAGAGTCCATGCCTGCAAATCTCCAATTACTGCCCAATTCGTTAGACGCCTCCCTTTGCTGATCATTGGTTGCCTTTTCCTCAGTATCCCCCTCAGTGTTCCCATTTCCGCTCTCACAGATGAGGTCGAGGAACCGGTCGCCTTTTCAGTATTATCCGTGCAGAGCCTGTGAGTTTAGGGGGTGAATGGCAACAGCCTGGTGGGGAGCTGGCATTGAAAGTGGGGTTGGGGCTTCTCCAGGGGGCCGCTTAAGGGTTCAGGGTTTTCTTGGAGGGACTCTCAGAACCTGCCAACTCGGGAACCGAGATGCCAGGTGATGGGGGGGCACACACCCGGAGCGTTAGCTTCCTGTGGCCACCGTAACAAATGACTGCAGACTGGGTGGCTTAAAACAACAGGAATATCCTCTCCCAGGTTCTGGAGGCCAGAAGTCCAAGATCAATTTCATTGGACCAAAATGAAGGTGACGACATGGCCGTGCTCCCTCCGACGGCTCTAGGGGACATCAGTCCTTGGCCACTCCAGCTCCGGTGGCTGTGGGGGTCCTTGGCTTATGGGCCGTCACCGCCGTCTCCGCCGTCTCCGTCTCCTTCCTCACAGGGCTTCCCCTCGGGGTATTTGTGTGAAACCGCCCACTGCCTCTGCTCTATAAGGACACCTGTGGTGGCATTGAAGGCCCACCGGGTCACGCAGGTTGATCTCATCTCAGGACCTGGCACTTTTCCCAAATAAGGTCCCATTCCCACGCTCCAAGGACGGGGACTTAATGTCATTGGGTGGCCATTATATCACCCACCGCAGGCAATTAAAGAGCTAAGTGAATTATCCTCGCAATAATCCTGTGCTCTGTGTGAAAAGGCAGATCACGTTGCCGCTGGGCGTTCGGACTATTGTTTATTCGTAGTTGTCCTTTTAAGAATTTCATTGCCAAAGGGGGTAATTTTAAAAACTGCACCACAGACTCAAGCAAAGACAGGATCTAACTGTGCTTCCTAGCATCCCTCTTCCTCCCACCCTGCAGGGCGATGGGTGAATATGTGTGTGAGTGCACACGCGTGTGTGTGTGTGTGTGTGTGTGTGAGAATGGGTGAGAGTGTTGGTGTGTCTGTGAGTGGGTATGGGGGTGTGAGTTTGGTGTGTGATTGCATGTGTGTGTCAGTGGGGGGCTGTGTGAGTGGATGTGAATGGGGGTGTGAGTTGGGTGTGTGATTGTGTCAGTGAGGTGTGTGTGTGTAAGTGGTTGTGTGTTTGTGTGTTGAATGTGTGTGAGTGTGTGTGAATGTGAGGGGTATGTGTGTCAGTGAGGTGTGAGTGTGCATGTGTGTGTTCATGTGTGAATGGGCGTGTGTGTGTATGATCAGGAACAAGTACAGTTTTTAAAGCTGTTAGTGTAGCATTTACTGAATGAGTTGCGGCCAAACTACGGCCCAAGTGTGACTGACCCCTGTGAGTGGACAGCAGCCCCCAGCTTGTCTGGTCCCAGGTCAGTCTTTTCTGGGTCAGTAAAATGGCATGTGAAACCATCACTGCAAACATGTTTGTANGACCGTCACTGCAAACATGTTTGTATGCATGTATGTATGTACCGCTAATTAGTCATTTATTATTGACCCGTGTCACACTTCTGTATGAATACGTTGGGTGCATTATGAACAGTCACAAAATATATACTTACAAAGAAAGGAAATAAGCAGACATGGGGAGCCACGGTTTTTATCCTGCCCCAGGTGGCTTGATAGCCGTGTGTAAGAGTGTCCCCTGGTTGCTGCATGTCACGTGGACGCAGTGTGTCTGGGCACCAGGAGGCAAGGTCCTAGGTGACCCAGACTGGTGGCGTCATGAACAAAGGAGGACAGGTGAGTGAGGCAGTTAGCAGGAGGGATCCACAGGGTATCCTGACGTCACATTGGAGAGGAGTGAAGATGTAAGAAAGAAACAGGTGTGCTTCAGGGCTCAGGGAGTCGACAGGTGACTGCCACCAAAGGAACGGGGCGAGCTGGGAAGGGGTGCACATTTGGGTGGAACAGACAGTCTTCCATCCATCCATTCACCCCTCCCCCATCCCTTCCTTTGTACGAGGCTGAGGACCCACACGTGTGGCGCGTCGACTGGGGGGGAAATGGCCCAGGAGGAGCGTCCTGTGGGTAGTTGGAATGAGGCCTTGGAGCAGCTGTAGGTCGGGTCCGGACATAGGGCTGAGAGTTAACTTCGGTGTAATTCTCCCAGGGAGAGAGCACTGGAGCCGGGGCAGCCTGGCCCGAGGGCTGGTGCAGGGCAGAGAGGGGGAGGGCGGGCGGCCATGCCCAGTCCGTGGGCGCTGCATCCCCCGGCTCCCTGCCCATGGCCTAGAACTGAAGATGGGGCAGTGTTGGCAGTTCCAGGAGCGGAGGGGGGGGGACACCCACCCTGGAGGGAGAATGGCCGGGCCTGAGGGGCGGGAAGAGGCCTTTCGCTGGGAAAACCTGGCAGTTCACCCTGTGGAGATCCAAGTTGGACACTCACCGGCCACGGAGCCTCCCGGACCGCCCTTCAAGTTTGCTTAGGAACGTCAGTCTCTTGCTTAATTCCAGAATCTTGGATAGTTGCTGCTACGTTTTTCTTCTCTTCCCCTGATGCTCTTAGATCCAGCAGCTGTTTTCCTAGGTTCTCGTGGACAGTCGGGAATAACCTCTGCCTGCAAGCGTCTGACAGCAGCCGTGTTCTCGGTGTCTCCTCAGGTGGCCATAAAAGTCATCGACAAGAAGAGAGCCAAAAAGGACACCTATGTCACCAAAAATCTTCGGCGCGAGGGGCAGATCCAGCAGATGATCCGCCACCCCAACATCACCCAGCTGCTCGATATCTTGGAGACGGAAAACAGCTACTACCTGGTCATGGAGCTGTGCCCTGGGGGCAACCTGATGCACAAGATCTACGAGAAGAAGCGGCTGGAGGAGTCTGAAGCCCGCAGATACATCCGGCAGCTCATCTCCGCGGTGGAGCACCTGCACCGGGCCGGGGTGGTCCACAGGTGAGGCGGTCGTGGGCCCTGGCAAGGCGGGACCGCGGCAACGTGCCTTGTGATTCGTCTCCGTTTGTGTTCCAGGGGATTGTTTTGTGAGTTGGGTTAATGCTGGCCCAGGTTTCAGGGGCGGCGTCAGAAGGCAGGGTGGCTGGGTTTGCATCCTGGCCCTGCCCTTGAGTAGTCGGGTGACCCTGGGTTCAGTTACTTAACCCCTCTGAACCTGGGTCTCTTCTGTAAAATGGGAGTAATGATGACGCTTATCTCCCGGCTGGTGTAAGGGTTACTCTATAGAATGTAAGGAGTTAATATACCGGAAAAGCTTAGAACAGTGTTTTGCACTCGAGTAAGGGAGTGGAAGTGTTGGGAGCTATTCTGTTACTTTTTGCAAAATGAGACCAGCTGCTGGGGGCCTGGAGGAAGCATCCCTGTTAAGACGGCCCCAGGCTGTTTTCAGCTAATGCTGGGCATGGTGCCGTCATTGTCTTTGCTTTATATGTGGTAGCTGCTCAGTAGCTGTTTTCTTCCATTAAATTGAATCACCATTTGAATTGTGAACTAGCCCTTGAAAGTGAGGGGTGCTCCCCAATAGCCAAATCAACCTTGCAAATAACTCTGAAAATCAGACATTTTTCAAAAAACAGCTGTTTCCTGCT